GCAGGCTATGTTTCAAAGTTCACTATAAGCGTGGGGTTGCCGAATACGACCAACTGAAAGGGAGCGAGCGATTATACGTATCGGAGTGTGATTGGATGTTTCCGTTTCAATATACAACGTGGAGGTGTGCCAATAGAGGCGAACTTAATCCCATTCCTTTTGAATTCCCGATCCCCGGTTCCTTATACTACCTAATATTTTTTATATAAATAATTTGGTGCCATAATTGATAACTTATACTGTGCTTATATCTCCTATGTGGGAATTACTAATAGTACTCATATGAGTTGATTGGAATTCATCTTGCGATGTTGGCTGTATCTGTGCTTTGTTTGCGTGTGAAAATGGAATGAAAATAATTGTCGTGACACAAAACCACAGAGTGGTCCTTCCTGATGGTGTAGCCGCACTTGCCGCGATGGATGAGAAAAAAAAGAGGGAATGAAAAAATAATGAGAGGACTGAATGCAAAGTGAGGAATTGAGACCAGTTGTTGATCCAAGTATGGGGGGATCGACTCCTCGGCATACATCATTTGGGGGAAGTTGAGCCTTTTCCTCCAGAGCTTGCCCCGTAATTGGGGACGATTATTGGTGTTTCCGTTTCAATATAAACGTGGGGTGCCATAGAGGCGAACTTATATCCCATTCCTTTGATTCCCGATCCCGGTTCCTTATCACCTATATTTATATATATTCCATAATTACACTTATATGTGCTTATTATCTCCTATGTGAATTACTATATCATATGAGTTGATTGGATTACTTGCGATGTGGCTGTACTGTGCTTTGTTTGCGTGTGAAAATGGAATGAAATATGTCGTGACACAAAACCACAGAGTGGCTTCCTGATGGTAATGAAAAAGAGAATGAAAAAAATAATGAGAGGACTGATCAAGTGAGGAATAGACCAGTTGTCCAAGTATGGGGGATCGACTCCTCGGCTCATATTTGGGGGATGAGCTCCTCAGTCCGTAATTGGGGATGAACTCCTCGTGCTCCGATAAAGGAATTGGCTCCTTTATTGTGAAATATGATTATCAGATTACTTGTGAAATGAGAAGGTAATAATCCCACTGAGCAACCTCTACTTGATGTGATTGTTTGAATGCGATATCATTGTGGTTGTTGATGATGAGTCATGTGCTTGATTAAACGAATGCTCATTATATAAAGTTGAAAAGCATTTTCTCTGACTGTTTGGGTTATGCATCATTTATTATTATTCACTGAGTTTGTGAAACTCACACTCTCTCATAAATTTTTTTTAGGAGGTAGACATCTTGCTGGTTCATATATGCTCTGCTCCTTTCTCCACAAAGTTACAACAGTAATTTTCAGTTTTTGGTAATATTTAAAAGTACAATGTTGTGTATAAAAATGTATCCATCTTTATTCTGAGCTTCGCAGTTAGGGATTCATGTAATACAAATTATTATGTAAAAGTTATCCGTGTGTTGTTCAATAAACCTGTGGAATTTCTAATTGACTCTCTAACAATAGGATTGGCCCAATTTGCTCATATTGTGGACGACGTAAATGGTATGTGAAATACAGGTCTGAACTATGAATTAGTTAAAAAATGAAAGTTGGGCCAAGGATATGATTCGATAGTATGATTTAATATCGTCATATTATGGGCCTATTGTTCCTGGAATCGGCTTTAAAGAAATGGATTTAAAGTGAGTAGGCTTACTACGGGTCTCGGAGGCCTTAAGCTTATATAGGCCCTATTGTCGATCCGGCTCACGGTTTTGATTGTGACAATACATCATAAAAAATTAGTAAAATTAAAGTCTTTAATGATATTTTTGACAATTCATAAACTTAACATGGATATTTTAGGAACTCAATATTCCTACATTCGTACTTTTATATATATTATATAATTTTTTAAAAAATTTAAAATTTTAAGATAACAAGTCATGTACTTGCCACAATGCGGGGATTATGTAATTTTATATTTTTTAATCGATCTAAATGGAGTAATTTTTCAAAAAAGTATTACAATTTATATTTATTTGATTTAATTTAAGGAACTTGATTAAATGATAAAAGGTAAAATTATATATTTCTTTTGAATTTTTAAGTAATAAATTGAAATATTTATTATCATAATAAATTATTGTAATTCCACTAATATAGTTATTTATTTTTTCCTTTGGATATTATCATACATTCATTTGAAATTCTTATTAATTTTTTGATATTTTATAATTCAATAAGGTATAAAAAGATTTAATTGTAATTCATTGAATTGAAATTATCTTTTAATTCCGTTAGTTAACCAACTTATTGTAACTCCATTATCTAATTAAGGTTTATTAATTATAACTCAGAGTATACAAATTTGTAATTCTGAAAATACTTAATATATACTCCCTCCTTTTTTTTTTATTTAGAGAAAACAAAAAAGTTCTTGGATTAAGAAAGTTAGTTAAATTAAGTTTTCTCCCTAAAATACCCTTCATTTATTGCCTACTTGCATCATTTGGGCATCACTTTCAACCTTCTTTATTAACTCCATTTAACTTCGTTAGAACAGGGACGTTTTACATAATAAGTGGACAAAAACGAAAAAAATTTTGGAGTCAAATTAAAGGCCAAAATTTTGAACTTATTCATTGAAAGCCACAAATTTTGAAAATTTTTGGCTAAGATAAAGGAGGAAAAACTAAAATTTTGGCTCTAACTTGTTTAAATTTAAATAAATTTTCAATTCAAATTCAAAATTAAAAGCAAAATTTTGGTTTCTCCAAATTGAAATGAAATTCAAAAAGTAGTGCCCAAATGCAATACATTGCGGCCAAAATGAAATAGAATTTGGAGTCAATTTTTTTGATTTTATAGTCAGACTATTCGACTTCAAAACATTGGCCACATATAAATGGAATCATAGTTAATGATCTGATTCAAGGAAAATCTATTAGCTTCTCCATAACATCCAAATCGGTCACACCATATCTAAAAATTCCCACTATTTTGCATCCTCCAAACTTGAATCCTATACATAATGAAGCAGAAATAGCTATAGTTGTCTATAATATGAGTGACCCCCAAAATTTTGTTCAAAGCAATGTGAGACGAGAGAACAGAAGGAAAAATGTAGCTGATGATGTCAAAATCTCTGTGAGCACCATGCTTCTATCTGAATTTGAATATGGTCAGTTGAACGTGCACAGTTATGAAAAAGTTGACAATCGCTTTTGGCATCTGTATGAAGACAATTTATAAGATATGGTGAAATGCAAGGATAAATCCTAAAGGTAACTCTAATGGCTTTAAACGTCCTTGGAACAAGGGTAGAAAGAGTGCATATCTCAGCTGATAGGACAAAGGAAATACCCCTCACAAGGCGCATGACTATTAGCGCCTTGGATATTGAATTGGGTGCTTGTGCTTCATATGTCCATAAACGAATCAAAGATGGCGATATCAAGCCTCATTCAAATGCAATAAAACCATTGTTGAAAAATGATAACAAAATTTCAATGATTAATTTTTGCATTTCAATGATAGATGAAATTGCTCAACCCTCTTTCAATGGAATGCATTATATTTTTCATATAGATGAAAAATGGTTCTACTTGACCAAAGCAGCTCAGAGATACTACCTAACAGCTGGTGAAGAAGCACCATTGAGAAAATGTAAAAGCAAGAAGTTTATACCGAAAATAATGTTCTTTGCTGGTGCCGCACAACCCTGGTTTAACACAAATTCACATGTGTTGTTTGATGGCAAGATTGATGTATGGCCCTTCAATAATAAAAAATGTGCGAAATGGAATAATAAGAATCGTGAAGTTGGGACTCTTGAGACAAAGCCTATGCTGTTAATTACGAAAGCAGTAATACGTGAGGTTCCTATAACTAAACTTTTGCCCACAATCAAAGAAAAGTGGCCACAATTAGATGGTTCATCAACTATCTTCACACAGCAAGACAATGCCAAGCCACATATTTACGTTCACTATATCAAATTTGTAGAAGCTGCTAGGGACCTTGGTATGGATATACGTTTGTCGTGCCAACCACCAAATAGTCCTAATTTAAATGTGCTTAACCTAGGTTTTTTAGAGCCATTAATTCGATAAAGGACAAGAAAGCTCCAAACACGGTGGGTGAACTTATTGATGCTGTTATTCAGTCATATAATGACTTCTTTGCTATTTCAATGAATATGGTTTTTCTAACTTTGCATACATGCATGGTTGACATTATGAAGTGCAATGGTGGAAACAATTATCGTATCAGACATATGTCTAAAGATAAATCGCTTAGGAATGACAAGTTACCAACTACAATTGAAGTTGATTCATAGTTAGTGAAGGATGTAGCGAGTCTTGTTAACCATCCAATTGTAAATTTTTTTTAGGATTGATATTACTCTGAACTTATGTCTTTAAATGGTTAGCTATATTTAGTTTTAAGAGTTTATTCATTAAATATGCATTTTTGATTTTTTTTTTTCAGTTTTTGCCCAAGTTTCTTTAATCTGATCTAAATTAATGACATTAACTCTCTTCTCGATTTGTAATTTTGTTATCTTATCTTTTCAATTTATATTCATATATTTACGCGTTCCTAAAAATTACTTGACCTATTGTATTTAGCCTCTTAACAAGACCTAATTTGAAAGTGAGTACTAAAATTCGAGTTAATGTCTTTAAGAATGGATTAGCTATGAATTTACGTTTTTAAGAGTTTATTCATTAAAACGATTGATGCATTTTTGGATTTTTTTTTTATTTTCAGTTTTGGCCCCCAAGTTTTTTCTGTTAAATCTGATCGTAAATTAATTGAGCATTTAACTCTCTTGACTCGATGTTGTGTAATTTTGTTTTATCTTAATGGGCTTTTCAATTTATATTCATGATATTTGTACGGCGTTCTAAAAATTGGAACTTAGATCCTTAATCTGTATTTAATTAGACCTCTTAACAAGACCTAATTTGAAAAAGTGAGGTACTAAATTCGAGTTTTTTAGTGGTGAGTTGTGAATGCATAATTTATTAAAAAAGTGACACACTCTAGCAAATAATGTAGACAATTCAACATTTTGAAAAGATGCAACAAAATAATGAACAATAAGCTAAGCCAAAACGGTGGCTAACAAAAGAGCTACAACGACATTTAATCAAGAATTTGTAAAAGTAGCACAAGCTACAGAAATACACAATGCCACAAAATGGCTTCATACGAAAGCCCGCGCAACATAGGTAATTAAAAGGCCCACAACGTAGCGCTACATTAGCTATATTTAGTTTTAAGAGTTTATTCATTAAATATGCATTTTTGATTTTTTTTTTTCAGTTTTTGCCCAAGTTTCTTTAATCTGATCTAAATTAATGACATTAACTCTCTTCTCGATTTGTAATTTTGTTATCTTATCTTTTCAATTTATATTCATATATTTACGCGTTCCTAAAAATTACTTGACCTATTGTATTTAGCCTCTTAACAAGACCTAATTTGAAAGTGAGTACTAAAATTCGAGTTTTAGTGTGAGTTTGAATGCATAATATTTTAAAAAAAGTGCACACTCTAGCAAAATATGTGACAACTTCACATTTTGAAAAGTGCACAAATAATAACAATAAAGCTACAACGTGGCTAACAAAAGAGTACAACCATTATAAGAATTTGTAAAAGTGCACAACTAAGAATAACAATGCCACAAAATGGCTTATAGAAGCGCGCAACTAGTAATTAAAAGGCCACAACGTAGCCTACAAAATTTCAAAACCGTTAACTAACACAGAAAATAAACAACCATTGAAAAAGTGTTCAAGTATTAAAAACATGGCCACAAAATGGCTTACAAAAGTGCACAACGAATAATTAAAAGGCCATAAAGTGGCTTACAGAAGTTTAGAATCGTTAACTAACACAGAGAAACAAACCATTGAAAAAGTGCACAGATACTAAAAATATGGCTGCAAAATGGCTTACAAAAGCGCACAATAATTAATTAAATAGCTACAAAGTGGCTTACAGAAGTTCACAGCCATTAACTAACATAAAGAACAAAAAAAAACTATAGAAAAAGTGCATAAGTACTAAAAATAAAAGGCCACTAAGTGAATTACAAAAAAATAAAAAATAATCAGAAAGTACACAATTACTATCTATAAAAGTCTACATTAACCTATTTATTGTCACAATTTTTACCTAGATCAGCATTAATAGCAACAAGTGTGTCCTCCATAATTTTTCCTACTGAGTCATTTATCTCATCACTTGCAAAAGGGTCTTGAGAGTCAATAAACTTCCCTCTTATCCATGGTTCTTGTGTAAGAGGGTGGGTCTCATTTGAGTCTACGGGTGCTTGATGATTACTACCTTTGGACGCATCTTTACTTTTTTAGCCACTTTCTTCTCCAATAGGTGTTTCAGGAATCTCAGAATACTAACTCGTTCCTTAGTGAAACTGCCTCAAATCAACAATAAAAGATTGCAGTTTTTCAATTTTGCATATTTTTTTATGTTTACTCAATGTTTTTATCTATCTTTTCCACCAATGTTGCCAAAAGAGTAGTAATTACATCCAATTTTTTCAAAATCTCAACATTATTCTCTGCAACGGAAGGCATTCTTCCAGCCTTTCTTGGAAAAGTAGCTGGCTCCTTTAGTGTACAATTTCATCTTTGGATCCCCACTCCAAAACATCGGCTTTGGCCACAAACTTCAAGAGTGTCCACCCCCTATCCCTTGACTTCACTATATTTCAATTTTTCAGATATTAGGCATTAATCATATCAGACTGCTTGATTTTCTCTCTTTTCTCTCCTCCCATATCAACATTACTATCAATAATGCACCTGGATATTAACCTAGCATATAACAACTATACAAAAATTTTCCTATTCTTATACTTTTCAGCAATTATAATTTTGTGGATGGTAGCTATATTTTGCAATTATAACTGATGCTACATCCAATTTTTCTCTAAGAATTATATGCCACAAAACCACAACTTCATCATTTGTGACATTGTCCTTACTTCCATTTTTGGGTAATATATTTTTGGCCATAATTAGATGTATCAATCTAGGTATAACATTTATTTCATTTGCCACAGTTTCTTTATTATCCTCAAATAACGCAGTCTTATTAAATCCTGCGACATCGTCTGCGAATGCTTTATCATCAGTAGTAAAAAGACATTCAAATCCAAGTATTGGGATATTTGCAACTTTTTGTAAAGTAGACTCATTATTCTAACTTCTACACCCTTTACTACCAAAACTAAATCAATCTTAATCCCCTCAGCAGTTTTATGCTCTTCCACAAAAAAGCTTGCATAAAATAGTCTAACTAGCCTAACATAAACTTGATTATCTAAAGACACAAACAACTTCATTTCAACAGAAAAAATGTCTAAATTTAATCCAACTTTCTTCAAATCCTCGAAATCTACATTTTTTTCACCTACACCTTTTTTGTTCATTATAACTTGATTATAAAAATCTGCCCTATCCTTAGAAATGAACCCATACGTTTCCATGAAAAATGCATTGTTCCCATCATTGTCTGATTTAGATTGTTCTTCCTCTGTCTCATTTGTCTCAGACTCCTCAACAATCCTTTTTCTTTTCTTATGAGGTGGCTTTCTGGGGGTTGGATTTTTCCTATGTTTGGAAGGTCATTTTTTGGTTTTGGCCATTTCTTTTGGGATGGGATAAGAGAGAGGGATTTTAAGGCTAACCCTTTCCCATGAGTCCCCTTTTTTTTCTTTTTGGAAGGCAAAATAGTCGCTGCCGTTTTTCTCAAATCTTTCATGACTTTTGTTTTTCGTTCAACTGGATTCGAACTCTCTTCCTTATCAGTCACCATTTTTTATTGTTTAGAAGTAATGCTTGCCTTCTTGTTCTTCGTCGACATTTATACAAGTCATCGGCGCTAATTGAACCGTCGCTTAGTGGCGGTTACAGGAGGGAGAGGGGGAATTTTAGGGATTTTAAAAGAATGATTTCTATCAAAAATCTTGGTTTCTCCCTTTTTGAATAATCAAAATACACCTGCACCTTTAAAAACAAAACGTGGCCGTTTTAAAAACTTAACTAAGTATAACATACATTCGTTCCTAACAATAAAGGTTGTGGCCAAATTTACAATGATAAAAGTGGACATATATTCATCAAACATACAAGTAAGAGTTAACTATGTATTTATGTGGCCAAATTTATAAAAACGACCACTGTTATTATAAAATGAAATGAAAAAGTGAGTTGATAACTTGTCCTTTGAAACACGCGTGCGTTAAATGCTAAGAATATTTATGTCTCACTTTCCTTGATCATTGAGCTTCAATCTTAAAAGAACACATATACTCAAAAGGCTTTCTAGTCTTTTTAACTTGGCTTGCATCCCAAAGTTACTATTTAGAGTAACTTTCTCTATATAAAAAATACACCCAATAAGGAATTTTCTTTATTTAAAGAAAATTTCCTTTTGTCCCTCTGTTTTCTTTATTTAAAGAAAATTTCCTTTTTATGTGTATTTTTTATATAGAGAAAGTTACTCTGAATAATAATTTGAAAATTTTTTATTTTTTAAAAAAAATATTTGAATATACTACATCATTTCTTTTTTTGAGTATTAGAGGATGGGATCCTAATTCATTTCTTATATAAAATTTTTCTATTAGGGAAAAAACCATATTCATTAGCCAAAAGTTAAGCCTTTTCGGCAAGTACAATAGGAATAATACTCATTAGTACTTCTTTCATCCAAAGCAGTATTTGTCATTCAACATCAACCTACAACTCAAAGCCAAGAGCAACAATGTGATGTGCAACTCTATTTCCTTCCCTAAAACAATGGAAAATGCAGAACTTAAGAAAAGAAGTGGTTAGATCATGTAAATTCAATAAACTGGATCCCCATTCAAAAGCTGGATATTTAGAATATTCCGCACCACCAACAAACAATCAAGCTCTAACACAACCTTTGTAAAGTTCAAATTTGTAGCGATCATCAATGCAAAAATAACAGCCTCTGTCTCCGCTTCTTCAGGATTCAATGCCGACAAAACACTCTTCACCCCCAATGATATTACTTCCCCACTATGATCTCTGACTACAAAACCCAG